TGTGTAAATGCCTCTGAAGGAGTGGAGACTTGGGTGAGGAAATTATTAAATCAAATGTGGAGTGTTCACACATGCAAAATGATGGTATGACTCAACTGCTAAACTGGTAGTCTTTTTACAAGCAGTTGGAACACATGTTTGGCTATGTCTGGAAGTTTGCTAATTTCTATTGAGGACCTCCAATCATCTACTGCCTCCAAGGTGGTAGCTTTTAAGTGCTTGCATACCGATCTAGAATTTGTTAATAATACTCAAAATCAAATCCATTAACCCCAGAGTGAGATATCAAAACCCACCCAGAAGTAGCTGTAATGGTTCTACCCTTCTGAGACGTTCCTCATGGGTAGTCCTGTGGTCCATCAACATTTCTGTCAATACAAAAGCAAGAACAGCACACAGCTGGCAAAAATTAAGGCCCCCGAAATTCTATTACGGTAAAAGCCATTTTGCGTGTTCTCCAGCTCATATGGCGATTAAATCCTCATGGTAAATGCCAGGTGACCTTTTTAGTAAACTGAAAGGGGAACAAATAATAGCAAATCATGGGAACATGACGAGATGGGCTGACGGACAGCATAAAGAGAGAACCGCTCTGATTCAAACACACAGGCCTCAAAACTATGATGTAGTTGCAAACAAGTCAAGTCAAGTTTATTTGTACGGACCCAATATCATATCTGTAAGGGCTTTGCGGGCACACAACAGCAACAGTCCCAAACCATAGACTCACCCAAATTCTCTAAGAAGAAAAGGAAAACCCCTCTAGAAAATCCTTATCACATAAACAAAAAAAGGAGGGGGTGGGCACACACATTTAAAGAGAGCTCCTTCCTCTGTGGGCAGCATGGGGTGAATAGTAGCCATAGGCGGGGACATTGAAATAACAAAGAGTCAACAGAAAGTTGAGCAAGTAGAGCAATTGAATCACAACAGAGGGATTATAAACTAACCCAATACCAACCCTGTCTCCTACAAAAGTACCTACCCATACAACTAAATTGCATTCTCAGTTATGTTTCGAGGGAAACGTCAACACATTCTTACTTTCAACTCTTCAAATACCAACACTTGGTCAGAGCCCCTTGGCACTAGCAAGTGACAAACCAGTCACGTGACTAGCAACTCACATAAATAACAACACTAACAAATTACGTGACTCAGGTGACAAAATATCAACTTTTAATTTTGCACCGTACATAAATACATAAACTCTCACGCACTGTATGTATTACATCACATGCTCTTACTGTCCATAACCCCAAGGGAGGTTTAAGCTTGGAGTTAGTTGTTGCATATAGCCACTAAAGGGAGCCTTCGTGTGTCAATTTCTGATGCTGAGGGGCACTGACCGACTGTCGGAAAGGAGAATGGATTGGAAACATATTTTCTCCTGGAATATGGTCTTAGTTTTAAACATATGGTAAACGGTAAACACACACAAATACAATAAAATTGCTTGGTCATGTTTAGGCAACAAAACTACTTGGTT